ACGTGGCCGCTCTCTCACCCGGCAGGCTGCTCCTGGCGCTGCCGCCTAGCCCCATGCCCATGTCCTCCGGCTCCTCCACCATGGTGTCTGTCACGATGGGTAAGGGACATTTCCCTCCCCGCGAGCTCCCCTGCTGCCCCCCACCACCACGCAAAATTGCCCTAAAACCCCTCAACTCATGTATTTGCACCAGGGAAACCACTCCCCGCCATCCCGCCTGCCATCCCAGGAGCCATTTTCCTCCTGATCCCTTTAACTGTGTGACAACAGCTGCAAATGCCCGGAATGAGCCCCTTGGCTGGCGCCTGCCAAAACCTAGGCGACTGCCCCACCCCCTTTTGCATATCCGCTTAATTTTTCCTTTTCCCTGGGTTTTTTTTAGCAACATCTGAATGGATTCAGTTTTTCAAGGACGCCGGGATCCCCCCAGGCCCCGCTGTTAACTATGCTGTCATGTTTGTGGATAACAGGTGAGGTCAGCAGTGAGGGGTGCCTCTTCGTCGCGTCACGGGGGGAAAATAGCACTGAAAGATCCCCCTGGTGAGGGTGAAGGAAGGAGTAAACAGATTATCTTACTCTTTTATTAGTTACATTAGTTATTCATGTGCACCAAACTTCTTTTTCATTATCAGTGCTGTTTCTGAGGGCGGTGGTATCCGAACTCAGGTTGGGAATATCATGGTGCACCTCCATCAAGTGCTAATTAATCAGAGCTCACAACGAGGGAAGACCTCGTTAACTTAGGTCTTTCCTCACCACAGGATCCAGAAGAACATGTTGATGGATCTAAACAAGGAAATCATGAATGAGCTGGGCATCACAGTGGTGGGAGACATCATCGCCATCCTCAAACATGCAAAAATCGTGTATAGGCAGGTATGGTAAAGCCTCACCAGCTCATTTGGCAGTAAAGTTTTGGCTCGAGGCTCCTCCATCCCCTCCAGAGACCCCAAGGGAAAACCCTCCTCTGTGCTCTTTCCTGCAGGAGATGTGCAAGGCAGCCACTGAATCGCTCTGCCCCAGCTCCCCCAGTGTTCAAGCCGAGCTGCGCCGCAACGCCAACAGCGGTGAGCGCGGGAGGGAGGTTTCTGGGAGATTAAATCCCCTCGCCTGATTGACAAGGTGCATTAATTATCTTGAGAATGAAGGCTTCAAACGATGGCTGCCTTCCCTATAATCCTGGGGAAGTACCACTCTTCGACTTAGCCGACAAGAAGGATGCTGGTTGCGCTCACTGAAGCCCCTTGGGGTTTAAAACCTCTCCCTCACCATGCCGTCCTCCCCTTTCAGCCGCCAGCCGGATGATCGCCAACAGCTTAAGCAGAGACTCGCCTCCCGCCACCCCCATCCGACAACAGCCCCATGCTTCCAAAATCTCTGTTACCGTCTCCAACAAACTGGCTGCTGCAAAGGCAGGTAGGGAAGGCGACAGATCCCGGTGGAAACAATGCCAGAAGCTGTTTTTTACTTCCTGTTTTCCATTAAACCCCCCCCCCCCGTCGAATTTTAACAGCTGCTTTGGATCCGGCTACGGGGTTTTTGAGCTAATCACACAACATCCTTGTCTCTGAAATGGAGAGGCAGGGATTTGAGGCGTGAACCCCTCAGTGGGTGAGGAGTTGGCCAGATGGTTGCACTCTGGCTCGGTGTCTGCGTGGAGAACAGTGATGAGCAGGGTCCTTCAGGGGTCTGTACTGGGACCAGTATGATTTGACATTTTGACGTCTTTCTTGGGGACATGGAAAGTGAGCTCAAGTGTACCCGTAGCCAGTTTGGGGGTGACCCCAAGCTGAGGGTGGAAGGTTGGTGCTCCAGACGGAGGGGATTCATCCAGAGGAACTGTAACAGGCTGGAGAGGGGAGCCCTGTGCCAGCCTGGTGAAGTTCAACAAGGCCAAGTGCAAGGTCTTGCACGAGTGGGTCCAGAGGAGACCAGAGCAGTGATCAGGGTGGGGCTGGAACACCTCCCATACGAGGACAGGCTGAGAGAGTCAGCGTGGTTCGGCCTGGAGACAAGGAGGCTCCAGGGAGACCTTGAAGCAGCCTTGCAGTGCTTGCAGGGAGTTACAGGAAGGGGCTCAGGGGTATCAGGGGGTGTAGAGGCAGGATGGGGAAGAAGGGTGTTAAACTGGAAGAGGGAAGATTTCCATTAGAAATTCTTGATTGTGAGAGTGGTGGGACACAGGAACGGGCTGCCTAGAGAAGCTGTGGACACCCCTGCCCTGGGAGTGTTCAAGGCCAGGTTGGACAGGGCTGGGAACAACCTGATCTAGTGGGAGATGTCCCTGCCCGCGGCAAGGGGTGAATGCTCTTTAGGGTCCCTTCCAGCCCAAACAATTCTCTGATTTTGTGGTTAGGAGTAGCTAGAGATGGGGCAGGAGGGTGTTTGCAGAGTGCCAGGCACTGCAGGAGATCTGCTGGGGTTGAAGCAGCCGCCCTCAG